TTGTCATCTTTAAGGTGCATGCCCATGTTACACAGGGGTAACTTCATAAGTGTTTGGCTTTTGTAGAGAGATTGCTGCCATCAGACAATTAGATGTGTTCACAAGTACTCAAAGAGCTGAGCCTGAGTCTTTGCAGAGTGGTAGGACTATTACATCATCACTAGTGCTCCATGTGGTCCCTGGAGAGCAAGGCTGGGTTAAAACTTCCAGGAATTCCCACCCTCTGGTATTCAAGTACTGTGGAATCCCTTCCCAGCTGGTGTGCCATGGACCTAGCGACTTGCTTCAGATAAGCAGAATAAGGCAAAGTCAGTAGGATATCATCACTACTGAGATTAAGATATAAAAACTGTTCTGCTCCAAAGAATTCTAGCTTCCACAGTGTGAACTGCTGTATGGAGAAATCCACATTGCAAGGAATGATGTGGGAGCAAACAGCCATCAAGAACTGTCAACAGCTAGGAGAATCAGTTTGGAAGAAGACCCTCCTTCAGTTGAGCTTACTAGCATCTGACACCCTGGCTAGCACCCGAATGCAGTCTTGTGAGCGACCTTATGTTAGGATCACTCAGACAAGCTGCACCAAGATTTCTGACAATCAGAACAAAGATAATAACTCTTTGCTTTTTTTTTTTAAACTATGGAGTTTGCTTAAAAACACAGAGTAGATAACTAATATGCTTCTATAGGATGAAAAGAGCAGATTCAATGCTGCCCTCTATGTTTAACCTTAGGGACAGCTGACTCTGGCTCAAGGAATCGAGTAAAATGGGACTTTTTCAAGCTCTTCTATGGAGCTAGACTGTAGCTTCAGAAGTGGTCCACTCTCTCTTGACTAACTGTTGGGTTTTGGCTTTTTCCTACTCTGCTTATTGTATTGTTATTAATTATACCCGCTGACCCAGGGGAAAATGATAATGAATTAAACTCAATAAGTTTCAAAAAGGAATCAGGATTCAGGCAGAGACATTAATTCAACAAATAGTGAGAAGAAAGAACAAGTGCTCATCCTGCCTTGGATTGTAAGGGGCCAACACAACCCCTAGCCGCATACTTGTGAGCCATCTCCAGGGAAGCCCGGCAACCCCAATGTTCCTTATGATGTAGGGCCGCCTCAAGGCAACATTCTGCCAACCAAAGAATAACTAGAAGAATTTAAAGCATCTTTTTCAGTCTTGAGCTAACACCCGAATGAAGGGCCATTCTTAATGGAAAGCCAAACATCTTTAAAATCTCATCTCCCAACGTGAGCCACAGCCAGAACCCTCTTCTCTGTAAGCAGCTCCTAAGTCCTCCCATGCTCCCAATTTAGGGTTCTTTGACACCCAGCTTTTTATCCTGCCACTCTTTCCCCATCTTTGCCATTCCCTTTCCAATGTACACCATGAACACATCTCTCCCAGTGTCACACACAGGCGGGCTTGAGCCACACGTGGCCTATAGATTGTTTGGGTTGGCTTCCACAATAATCGAGAAATTTTTGCACATGGTCAATTCTGCAGCACAGTGGGAGAGCTGGAGTGCTTTCCCAGTGAGGCCCTGGGTTTGATCCCCGCTAGTGTTAAAAAAATGGGGGTGGGGTGTTCCAGAAGTCCAAATTTGAGATTTTATTTTAAAAATGATTATATTTGACCACACTGGGTCCACACTCTTACCTGGAAACAGCTGGCTGGCCCGAGGTGCTTGTCTGCCTTTTACTTCATGGGCACCAACCCTCTGCTGCTTCTATACAGTTTCTTTTACCCATTTCATCCCTGCCCAAGCACTTCATGTCTTTTTCACTAGCTTTGCACCTTGCTCCCTATGCTCAGCCCAAGATGGGAAAGAGGGTGCCAGTAGATAATGGCAGCACTTTTTCCAGTGGGAAGAGTAGAAGCTCAGAAAGAGAAGAGAAAAAACACAGGATAAAGATATTTGTCACTGTTACGTGCAAAATTGCCATTTGGGTAAAGGGCCTGAAGAAGAAGAACAGATCCTTGCTCTGCGCCTGTTAGAATTATTAATGTGGGTCATAGCAGTCTGGCTGAAGCCAGAAGCTGAAGGACATCTGGAGACTGCCTTGCCCAAGTCAACACTGTGAAAGGGCCACGCATGGCTCTGGTGCTGTGGGAACCTGCAGCAAGCAGCCAGAGAGCATTTGCTCTGCGGAGTGTCAGGGCTCTGCTGTTTTCAGAAGGAAACCAGGAATGAGCTGATGGGTTTGCTCTGGCAACAAGATGCGGCGCTGACTTGGGAAAGGAAGACCAAGGTTTATTATGATTGGGTAAAACCCTAATTGCCACTTTGGAAGGAGCTTAGCTTTTAAATTCATATTCTGTAGCCAAAGAACCTCTCTATACAAAAGCACTGCAGCTAATTAGTGGCTAGGCATCTTGTAAGAAATGGCTATTTGCTTTATTTTTAGTAAAAGCGTCCTGGAATTTTCCTGACTTTTGCTTACTTTCAGTGCTCTTGCCTGCCGGGTGACGTTAAGAGGAATGAAGAGGATTCAGCTTTGCCCACTTCCAGTTGGCTTCTGCCAGGGAGCTGTTTTTTCCCTTTTGGGGAATGAGCGTGGCTCCTTGTTCTCTCCAGTCATCCTATCTGGTGGCCCCAGCATTGTGACAAGAGCTAAACTCCAATATATGTCCCTTCGTTCCACTCCAGAGGTGCTGAGCTGCAGAGATTTTCCTTCCAGTGACAGATGCCTAGATAGAGCAGGAGATATGTATTTGTCTTGTGAAGGGCTGGAAAGGTCTTGAGGTATATAGCTCCTCACTGAATATCTTCCCTCTATCCCTCCAGATCCTCTCCTCATACCCATCCACCTTGCTCTGAACCCATGAGGCTCACCTATGTGGATTGCATCAAGCAGCTCAATGGTCCTTCAGTTTTCCTTTGGGTTGGGCCAGTGCAGTATACTAGTGGGAGACTGGAGAGGAGGGTGTTTATTCCCTGACTCCCATACCGTGCTGTTGCAGCTCTTGCCAAAAGACCATCTTCATATAGCTTGCTCCATGCAAGTTCCAGAATCCATGTCATCCTCTCTTCGTTTTGAGTTGGAGCAGTAATGGAGCTTATTACCAGCCCTATCATGCTATCTCTAAGTCCTACCCACACCTTTGTAAGTAGGTCGTTACTAAACTCTCCTTGGATTACTCTCACTTGAGAGTGTCACCTGTTTCCTGGATGAACTTTGGCTGATACAGCTATGCTATTTGCTTAGCAATTGCTATATCACTACTGAGATTAAGATATAAAAAATTCTGTTTTGCTCCAAAGAATTCTAGCTTCAACAGTGTGAACTGCTATATGGAGAGATCTACATTGCAAGGAATGATGTGGGAGCAAACAGCCATCAAGATCTTGAGGCCTGGCAACAGCTAGGAGAGTCAGTTTGGAAGTAGACCCTCCTTCAGTTGAGCTTACTAGCATCTGACGCCCTGGCTAGCACCCGACTGCAGTCTTGTGAGCAACCTTATGTTAGGATCACTCAGATAAGTTGCACCAAGATTTCTGACAATCAGAACAAAGATAATAACTGTTTGGGTTTTTTTTTTAACTATTGAATTTCCTTAAAAACACAGAGTAGATAACTAATACGCTTCTATAGGATGAAAAAAGCAGATTCAAAGCTGCCCTCTATGTTTAACCTTAGGGACAGCTGACTCTGGCTCAAGGAATCGAGTAAAATAGGACTTTTTCAAGCTCTTCTATGGAGCCACACTGTAGCTGGTAGTTGCTATCTGTAACCAGATCATCAACAGCAAAGCTGCCTCTCAGGAGTGGATGGGAATCAGTCAGGACCAGGACCTGGACTGCTGCGTACGTAAAAGAACCACACTCACTCGACCATGCCAGAGAAAAAGATGGATCCCACTGGCCACTGGTAAAGTAAACCCAATTTCCTTTCTTTCATATCTTCCCTGAGTTTAATGAGAGCCACTCTAGGCCTAGACATCAAATCTCTGGATTTGCAAGCAAATGCTGTTTCCATGGCCTGAGCCTAACAGCCCATGTTGACCCCTGTGGGTGACCTGAAGAGGTCATACACACCCCAGGAGAGAACCTTGATGTTCATCTCCACTCTTCTATCTGCAAGAAAAGTTGAAAATGGCCTCTTATAGTACCTTTTCCTTTTATGAGAATCTCAACAGGTCTCCCAAATGCTTCTCAGTAAATCTTCAAAGAAAAAATCACATGAACGTGGCTTTCCTCCAAGTGTACCTCCTCTACCAGAAGAGAAAGGCTACAGACTGAGAGAGGGCGAAGCCACAGGCTTCCACAGGCCCTTCCCTCTTCTGTCCCATTCGATGACTTCATGTCTCTAGCATAGATGCTGGCAAGCTGTGAGACAATGGCAAAAACATGGGTTCTCCAAGAACTAACCTGTGTGTTTTATTTATTTTTCAATGTAAGTTTGTTCTAAGCCTGAATGGTTTGGGGTCCCTGGAGAGATTTTTATCTCAAAGGAGAATCCTCTTGAAGGTAATATGAGTAGATCAAACCCCACCTAAAATGCAGAAGGTTTTTCTTTGGCATTATAAACCTTTGCCGGACATGGACTTTGATACAGTGTCCCTCTTTCTGATATTAAACAGCCACCATCATCCTGAGGCTGTGACACACGGTACCTTATGTTGTTTTCCTGCAAGGTTTAAAACACTCCACTCTTTCCTCTTTTTTTTTCATGTTATACAGTCATTCCTGAAAAGAAACGCAGGACCTCTGCTAACTTCTCTATCTCTCATTTTATTTTATTTATTTTGTTTTTCCAGCACTGGGCATAGAACCAGGGACACCTAACCCCTGAACTATATCTCAGCCCTTTTTATTTTGAGACATGTTCTCATTAAGTTCTAGACTGGTCTGGGACTAACACCCTTCTTGTGATCCTCTTGCCTCAGCTTCCCATATAGCTGGGATTATAAGCCCATGCCTCTTGGCCTGGCTTAGAGTTGGTCGCTTGTGGTTGAGTAATTCATTCATATTTTTTTCTGGGCAAGAAACCTTCTCTCAGTTGGCACGTGGCGACCGCGGAGTCACCTTGTTACCGCTGTTCTGCGACTTCGGTTTGCACAGCCAGCATGAAACGGCCGAAGTTAAAGAAAGCGAGTAAACGCATGACCTGCCATAAACGGTATAAAATCCAGAAAAAGATTCGAGAGCACCATCGAAAATTGAGGAAGGAGGCCAAAAAGTGGGGTCACAAGAAGTCTAGGAAAGACCCAGGAATTCCAAACAGTGCTCCCTTTAAGGAGGCTCTTCTTCGAGAAGCTGAGCTAAGAAAACAGCAGCTTGAAGAATTAAAACAGCAGCAGAAACTTGACAGGCAGAAGGAACCAGATAAGAAAAGAAAACTTGAAACTAACCTTGCTGATGAGCCATCTAACTTTGAATCTGTGGAGGAATTTGGACAAAGCAAAACTAAGAGAGCCAAAGTGACCAAACAGAATCTGAAGATAGTTCATTGTCAGGAACTTAAAAAGGTGATTGAGGCCTCAGATATTTTGCTAGAGGTATTAGATGCCAGAGATCCTCTTGGTTGTAGGTGTCCTCAGGTAGAAGAAGTGATTGTCAAGAGTGGAAAAAAGCTGGTGCTCGTATTAAATAAATCAGATCTGGTACCAAAGGAGAATTTGGAGAATTGGCTAAATTACTTGACAAAAGAATTGCCAACAGTAGTATTCAAAGCCTCAACACATCCGAAGGATAAAGGGAGGAGGATAAGCAAGGTGAAGGTAAAGAAAAAAGCTGTTTCGTTCAAAAGTAATGCCTGCTTTGGCAAAGAGGGTCTTCGGAAACTTCTTGGAGGTTTTCAGGAGACTTACAGCAAACCTATCCAGGTTGGAGTAATTGGTTTCCCAAATGTGGGGAAAAGCAGCATCATTAATAGCTTAAAACAAGAACGAGTATGCAATGTTGGTATATCCATGGGGCTTACAAGGAATATGCAGGCTGTTCCCTTGGACAAACAGATCACGATCATAGATAGTCCAAGTTTCATTGTGTCACCACTTAACTCTTCCACAGCCCTTGCTCTGAGGAGTCCAGCAAGTATTGAGGTGGTAAAGCCACTGGAGGCTGCCAGTGCCATCCTATCTCAGGCTGATGCCAGACAGGTAAAAATGCTCCCCCTTTTAATTTGAAGATTTTCAGGGTTCTAAAAAAACTATTATCAGATGTATGACAATCATGTTTTGCTTTTTTTTAAAGGTAGTTCTAAAATACAATGTCCCAGACTATAAGAATTCTCTGGAATTTTTTACCAGTCTTGCTCAGAGAAGAGGTCTGCACCAAAAAGGTGGAAGCCCAAATGTTGAACGTGCTGCCAAACTGCTGTGGTCTGAGTGGACAGGGTAAGACTTCTTTCTGTTGGCGTTTTGGTCAATACTTAGAATAAAGAAATTGGTGTTTAACAGATCTTATTTTTAATATCAGTGCTTCATTAGGTTACTATTGCCAGCCCTCTACATCCTGGGCTCTTTCTGCACACTTTAATGGCAGTATTGTGGCAGACATGAAAAGGGGCTTTAATTTGGAAGAACTGGAAAAGAACAATGCACACAGCATACAAGGTGAGACTGGTATTTCACTGCTGTTTTCCTCTGTTGACATGCTGATAGAGGTCTCAACAGTTTTGGGGACTTTGTTCCTTTCCTAGCCATCCGGGGCCCTTGTTCAGCCAATAGCATACTTTTCTGGTCTTCTGGTCTGACAAATGGAATAATGGAGGAGAAAGACATACCTGAATTGCCAGAACAGAGGACAGAAAGGAAACAAGAGGAAAAAGAGGACGACAGAGATATGGAAAAGATCTCAGACTTGTCCCCTATAGAAGAAACAAGTGAGGAGGCACTGCCTGAGGAATCTATTACAGCAGGTGGACCATCTACAAGATCTTTTATTATCTTGGATGAAAAGACTAAAGAGGATGATGCTTATGACTTCAGCAGAGATTATGTATAACAACTCGTCCTTTTATATGGATTTTCTTAACATTTCAGGCAAACTACTCAAGTGTTAAATATGTGTAATGTGCTACTTCAAGTTTGGTATAACGTAAGCTGTATAAATTTTGTGAATATTATGTATACATTAAAGCAACTAAACAATTAAAGTATCCACATTTAACAATAAAAAAAAAAAGAAACCTTCTCTCTTCAGGCATTCTGCTCAAGGGTTTTTTTCCCATTCACACTCTGACTTTTGAAAATCTCTCCATGAAGAATCTGAGCGGTGCTTCCTCTCATCTTAACACACACGTGCATGCACACACACAAGCACGCACACACACACCCTCAGAAAGCCTTTTCAAGGACTTGGACTTCCCCTTGTGTAGAAAACTGTATTCTTCTTAGTTCATCAAAGACAACTTTAAAGTAGTTCCAAAAATTATGAGTGAATATGGTAAACCAGGAGCAAAATAAATGAATTTTGAAATGTAGGTATCAAACAAACTCTTCTGAAAACAAGACTAAAAAAGAATATTCTGTAACTCATTTTATGAAGACAGTGTTTCACTAATACCTAAACAAAGGATAATAGAAGAAAATTGCTAAACAATAATTCTCACAAATATAGCTATAAGTCCCTTTCTTAGTTACTTTTCTTTTATTGCTGAGAAAAATATCCTACACCCAAAATTAAAGAAGGAAAGGTTTATTTAGCTCATGGTTTGTGGAGGTTTCAGTCTATAATCAGCTGGCTCCAAGGCAGGGTGGCAAGGCACAGGGGCAACAGTTGAAGGTGGCAGAAGACAGCAAAAGCAACAAGAGAAAAAAAGTGGGGAGAAGAGCAAGATTCTTTTCCTCCTTTATACTGTAAGCAGGCTACCTGCCCTTGGGTGGGTGTAGCGCTCACACCATCTCAGTGCACTTCTCTCCCATAAGATGAGAATGTTTACAAAGAAAGAACTCTGGCCTCCTGCTGGGTATCTTAGTTAATCTAAACTTCTCAAGTTGATACAATGTATCAACTGTTACAATCCTCAACAAAATATTAGCAAATACAGTCTTTTAATACAGAATGTATAGTCATCAGCACTACTGATAAAGTGAGGTTTATCACAAGACTACAAAATCAGTTTAACATCTGAAAATCAGTCAATGTAATCCACCATAGCAACAAGTTAGAAACAGTATTATCATCTGAAAAGACGTGGGGGAAAGTACTTGACAAAGTCCCAAATCCATTAGCAGTAGATATTTTCAACACACTAGTAGCAAGAAAGTTCCAGACCTTAAAAAGGGCATCTACAAAGGCCTATAGTTAAGGGCAGAAGAGGATATTACAAGATCTTTAATCATCATAGATCATGGTGAAAGACTGAATACTTTAAACTTAAGGCTGAGAACAAGGTCATCTGGTCCAGTCAAGATTCTACTGATGGTCTTAGCTAGTGCAATAAGGCAAGAAAAATAAATGAGTCATACAGTGTGGAAAGAAAGAAAACAACTGTATTAGCAGGTAGCATAATCATCTACACACAAATCTAAGCAATTATAACAACTACTGAACTACTGTGTGTGATTAGCAAAGTCAAATGATAGAAAACTGTATTAAAACAATTGGAAATTTAAATTGAGTATCACATATGATAGCATCAGAAATACACAGACAAATTTAACAAAATATGTGCAAGATCTATATGCTATACATGGTTGAAAAAAAGCCAGTAAACCTATGAATGGTAAATAAGTACACGAAAACGTGCTCAACATCAGAGTCCAGAAAAATTCTAATTAAAGTCACAATAGGACACCATTACACACCCTCTAGAATATTTACAGTTTAAAAGATTGACACTAGCAAGTACAGAACTGAAACCAGGTGTAGTGGCTCATACCTGTAATCCTGGCACTCAGGAGGCTGAGGCAGGAGGATCGCTGTGAGTTCGAGGCCAGCCTGGTCTACAAAATGAATTCAAGGCCAGCCTGAACTGCATAGTGAGACACTGTCTCAAAAAGACAAAAAAAACAAAAAACAAAAAACAACAACAAAAAACCCAAACCAAATCAAATCAAACAAAACAAAACAACCAGAACTGAATGTAGAGAATAGAAATAGAAATCTCACAAATTGCTGGTGGCAATACAAAATGCTAAATGTTATAGCCACTTTGGAAATAGTTTGTTAGTTCCTTATAACATTAAATTTCTCTTAGCACACAACTCAATAATCATATTCCTGGATACTTACTCACAGAAGTCTGCAGGCAAACAGTCATAGAAATTTTATTCATAAAAGTCACCACAAAAGAAATGTCATCAGCTGGTGAATGGGTACATAAGATGGGGTACATCCATATATGTAAATTCCATCTACAGTGGGACACTACTAAATAATAAAAATGAATGAACTACTGATACATAAAACAGATAAATGCCAAAATTTATCCCGTGTTAAGTAAAAGAAAACAAACTCAAAAGATCATATACTTATGATTCCATTTACATGACATTCTAGAAAAGGCAATACTACATTCTTGCCAGGGACTGGTGTGTTGGAAGGAGGGAATTAACTTCAGAGGAAAACATTTTTTTAACTTTTAAAAGACTGACATGTAATTATTGTACATATTTATGGGATATGGTGTGATAATGATTGTTATGGTTGATACATTGTGTCAACTTGGGGAGTTTAGAGGTTTGGCTAAGTGACTCAGCAGGGAGCGAGGGTGCTTACTTTGTATTCATCCTGAGGCTGTGGAAGAGGAGGGCATGGAGATTATGAGAGAGCTACATGCCCCTTAGGTGGGGGTAGCCTGTTTACAATGTAAGGGAGGGAAAGAGGCTGCGTGCCACCACTCCTCCCTTTTGCTGTTGCTGCTTTGCTATGTTCTGCCACCATGAATGCTTGCCCTCTGCCAAGTGCCACTCTGCCTTGGAATCAGCTCAGTATGGACTGAAACCTCCACAAACTGTAAGCTAAATAAATCTTTCCTTCCTTAATTTTGGGCATCAGCTTTTTTGTCCCAGCAACGAGAGAAAAGTAACCAAGACATATATAATCTGTAATGGTCTAATTAAGTTAATTAAATTAGTCATCCATGTCCTTAAACATTAATCATTTCTTTGTGTTGGGAAATTTTGAACTCCTCTCTCACAGTTCTTTTTTGGAGGGAATATTGGGGTTTGAACTCAGGACCTTTTTACTGAGTTACAACCCCAACTCCCTCACTCCCTTTTTAAAGAAAAACTACCTAAATTGGCCAGGCGGGGCTTAAACTTTTAATTCTCCTGACTCAGTCTCCTAGAGTGCTGGGATTACAGATGTGTGCCACCGTTCTCAATTCTCTAGTTCTTTATAAAATGCTTAATAAATTGTTGTGAAATATAGTCACCCTACTGTGCTGTAGAACTTTGAAAGTTATTCTTCCTGTGTAACTATGTTGGTACCTACTATCCAGATCCATTGTCCTTCATCCCACCCTTTTCTTGCCCCTGCTCACCTCTGTTCTATTCTCTCTTTGTATGAAATCAACTTTTTAAGCTTCCACGCATGACCAAGAACGTGCAATATTTGTCTTTGTGTGCCTGACATTTCAAGAACATATTTTCAGGAAGAAAACTTTTAGGGGTGATGGAAATATTCTTCACCTTGATGATCATGGTGGATATGTGAGTGTAAACATTTGTCAAAACTGTTCCAATTATAAACTACAAGGTTAAGTTGTATTGCATACAAAGTAATACTTTATAAATTCAACGTTTAAAATAATAAAATACAGGTTTCTGTCTATTACTCAACCAAAATCAACCCAGATTGATTAGGATAGGCTAATGAAAATATAGCTTCTAGCTCACTTTTCTTTCTTTAGCACTGTGTCAGAAATTACATATATATATATATATATATATATATATATATATATATACACATACATACATGCTCTGTATACCTAGCTGCACCCATTTTTATTTTGGTATTGGGGATTGAACCTAGGGCCTTCACATTGAACTATGTCCCCAGTTTTTTGTTTGTTTTTTTGTTTGTTGTTATCTTATAGGTTCTCACTAAGTCTCTAAGTTACCCAGGCCGGGCTTGAATTCACAGTCCTCCTGCCTTAGCCTCCCAGAGTGCTGGGATCACAGCCATACACTGCTGTCTTCTTCTTCCATCTCTATTCCTAGTCTAAGCTCTAGCTCTCACTTCCCTCAAAGGGGAGAAGGAACAATTGATGGTGGGGCTCTGCTAGCTCTGAGAGGCAGGACAATAATATACTGATGGCTAAGGGATTCCCACTGACTCCAATGTCCTCATCCCAGTTGGAGAAACAAACCACTGGGTTTGAGAAAAACATGTCCTTAGGGCAGCTGAAATCCACAGAAAAGTGACCTTTATGAAGGGTAAAGAGCATCAGCTGTTCAAGCTGGTAGCCTGGCTCAGAGGAAAGGAAAAGGATTTTGGAATGTTCCATTTCTAGCTCTGTCATTTACTAATGTAACTCTTGAGTAATATTTTAAAATTTTTGAGTCCCAGTATCCTTTGTCATAACATAAAAACATGATACCGTATATATTTGAGGTGCGGCTGTAAAGATTAAATGAGATAATTCATGTCAATAATCTCTCTAGCACATAAAATTTCCCAACCAATAATTGTTATCATCATCCTGGTTATTATTTAATCAGACTTGGTAAAGAGTGGTCTAAGAAGTCAAATGAAACACGTGGTTAGGGAAGGAAAGGTACAACTGGGGCTGAAGTGGTTCTTTAATTTTGTTTACAACAAAGCTTTGTTTTATGAAGGATTTAGGGCAACTTACAAAAATAGGTATAAATAAAAGGCTAAAAGCAAACAGAGGCAACTTAAGAGAAGGAAATGTATAGACTTCTGTAATGGGTACCAAGAAATGTGTATTCTAAGGTGTTGATAGTTGTTGGGGATGAGTCATATATTTGGATTTGAAATGCTTTGATAATTTGATGTAAAGAAGTGGTACCAAGCTTCAAGGCTCATACGACCCACTGGCTACAGATAAGCTGGGTTACAAGAAGAAGTCCACCTTTGCCTTACACCCAGAGGCCTTGTGAGGGGGAAGCTCAATTATGGAGAGGGCGGGTTCTCACAGTTCCCATAAATTCAACAGAGAGTCTCTAATAAAATCCTTCAATGCAGGCTAAAGCATGGATTCCCACTTCCAC